ACACCAGCTGAGGATCTCTCTTCCTCGATTTAAAGTGCAGTGGAAAGGACAGGCATATCTTCCAAAACTGGGTGACTGGGCAAGAAAATGGCAGACGAAATTCAATGTTGATAAATGCAAAGTAATGCACATTGGAAAACATAATCCCACCTATCCATGCAAAACGATGGGGTCTAAATTAGCTGTTATGACTCAAGAGAGATCTTGGAGTCATTGTGGAGAGTTCTCTGAAAACATCCACTCAATGTGCAGCGGCAGTCAAAAAAGCAACCAGAATGTTGGGAACCATTGGGAAAGGGAGTGATAATAAGACTGAAAATATCATAATGCCACTCTATAAATCCATGGTATGCCCACACCTTGAATACTGAGTGCAGTGCTGGTCACCCCATCTCCAAAGAGATTAGAACTTGGAAAAGTACAGAGAAGAACAACAAAAATGATGAGGGGTATGGAACAGCTTCCATATGAGGAGAGATTAAAACACTGGGACTGGTCAGCTTGGGAAAGAGATGGCTGAGGGAGGAGATGACAGGGGTCTATAAAATCATGGCTGGTGTGGAGACAGTGAATAGAGAATTGATATTTATCCCTTCTCATAAACACAAGAACCTGGGGTCACCCAAAGAAATTAATAGACAGTAGGTTTAAAATCAACATAATGAAGTACTTCTTCACACAACACACAGTCAACCTGTGGAACTCATTGCCAGGGGATGTTGTGAAGGCCAAAACAATAACTGGGTTCAAAAAATAATTAGATCAGTTCATGGAGGATAGGTCCATCAATGGCTGTTAGCCAAGATGGACAGGGATGCAACCCCATGCTCTGGATGTTCCTGAACCTCTGACAGTCAGAAGCTGGGACTGGAGGACAGGAGATAGATCACTCGATAATTGCCCTGTTCTGTTTATTCCCTCTGAAGCACCTGGCACTGGCCACCTTCGGAGGATAGGATACTGGGCTAGCTGGCCCATTGGGCTGACCCAGTATGGCTGTTCTTATGTTCATCAGACGAGATCACTGATCAGCGCTGGCCTTGGTTTTTTGTGTCTCCTGCATTCATAGAGGTCACGCTACACCCCAGTTTGCAGCCCTGGCTATTATTGTGCTGTATTTCATTGTAGGACCCACAATGGCAAGCAGAATATAGTCCTCCGCTGGGATTTCTGGGGGCATCTGTGTAGGGCTCCGGCTCCTGTTCAGGATTCGAGGAGAAGATTTAATTCAGAGCGGGGAGGCATGGGCAAGAGTGAACTGACTCTATCAGACACGGAAGCAAAAATAGACTCAAAAACTGGGAGGACTGTCGTCATGTTACTTCCCAAAGTTGCAGCAAGTGCATCTGAAGCCGCTTAAAGATGTGGGGCCAGATTCTCAGCTGGCGTCAGTGAGGTCACGCCACTGGAAGGCCATCGATTTAACCCAGCTGAGAATCTGGCCTTGATCCTTTTCCACCCGGAAGCCTGCCCAGAAAAAACGGTGAGGCGAACCCTGCTGAGCCCATTGTTAATTAAGCTTGTGCATTCAAACAATCTAACTTGTTCTGCCCTGGAGCTACGGTGCCTATGAAGGGCTCTGAAATAAATGACAGTTAAGCCGAGTTGACGGCCCCCTGGAAGCTGTGCTCGTTAAAGAAAGATGCTCAGAGCTGTCAGTCTTAGTCAGAAAAGCAGGCGGGGGTGTGGCTCATGCCCTGTTATTTAAATCCTCCAGCCCCATGCATAAAAATAAATATGTGCCATCAGATTTCTTGCCCTACTTTTCCCTGATGCTTTTAAAGTGACATTAAAATGCCAGTGGCAGAGGCGAGTAGTTTAGCAAAGGTCTGGTTTGACTTCCGAAGCTTCCAGACTTGTGCTCCTTTAACGCACCTGCTGGGGGAACTTGCAAACCGCACGGAAAAGAAAGGGAAAGGCAGGGAGAAACCAGGGCAAAACCAAGAGCCAGGTGCAATGGGCAGCCGTGCGTGCTGGATACCTAATGCCGGGATGGGGACAGGTGGGTCCCCCTCTCAACTGAGGGGGAGGAATCACTGAGCCCAGAGAACCCCGGACGGTGTCCACCTGTGCTCACGGGTGTCTGAGGAGTCAGTGGACCCTGCCCAGAAGAATCCTGCTTGGAGGCATGATCAGACGAGGGGCTGGGGACGGGAGCCACAGTCACAGAGCCACCCCCATCCAGCTTCCTCTTCCTGGAGTGAGGGTTGGCTGTCTTGGCCAGCGCCAGGAGGAGGTTGACAAGGAGGTCTCATGACTTTGTGGGGCCAGGGATGGAGTGTACGCTAATAGGGGTGATGGATTCTTCCTAACAATGTGGGGAGGGGCACAAGTCCCTGCCCCCTCCATGGCCCCGCCCCACGGCTTCTCCCTGGCCAAGCCGGAGCCGAGCAGGGGAACGGAGCCCAGGCTCCTCAACCTGCCTGGGGAGGTGGGTCCCAAGACCAGCCCCGGCCCATGTCCCCGCCCAGGGCAGGTGGAGGGCCCATGGCTTCCCACAGCTGCCCACGCAGCTCTTACCCCGACCTGGCTTCAGCTTCTGGCCTGGCTGGGGGCGGGTGGGGTCTTGGGGGCCAAAGAGCAGACACCGGGCCATGATAAGAGCAGCACGGGCAGCTATGGGGAGACCCTCCAACTGCCCTGCGGAGGGACTGGGGGGTGGGAACACAGACCGGGGGTTGCTTTTGGGACCCCTACCCCCACCCCAGGCAGGTGGAGGGTCCATAGCTCCCCACAGCTGTCCAGGCTCCCTGGGCTGGGCTCCAGCTTTTGGCCAGGCCTGGGGGGCAGGGCCTTGGGGGAAGAGGAGGGGCAGGGGGCTGTGGCCATGGTGAAAAGTGGATGGGCCATGACCCTGTGGCCCCTCGGTTCCGGTCCCCCTGACGCTAATCCAGGAGGTGCAGGGCAAAGTGCAGCTAGAACCCCAATGAGCCGTTCTGTAGGAGCGGGAAGAGGGGCTGCAGCCTGGCAGGGCAGGCGTCAAGGGAGTCTGTGAACCGCGCCACATACACACCCCTGCTCATGGCTCCATGGCAGAGCCGGGGCCCAAGGCAGGACATCCGTGCCATATAGGGAAGGCACTCAGAGCCTGCCAAAAATCGAAGGCTGCACCACCCAGCAAACCACAGGACGCCATCCTCTGTAGTGAATTCATTCATAAACTGTTCTCAACAGAAGCCTGTCGCTGGAGCACACCGAACAATCTGCGCCGTGATTTATAGGAGAAACCTTTAATAATAAGAATCCACCCCCCCTTCCCAGCACACCCCGCCCCCTCATCAATCCACAGGGCGCCGCAAGGCAGCAAAAGGCTATTTCCCCAATCATTTATGGCAGGCTCTTTATTAATTTGCATGCATATGCCCAAGGCTCAGGGGACTGATCAATGGAACATGTAAATAGAGCAGTGTAATTGGATCGGATGGGCTGGCCCTGACTCTTTCCGGCTGGCATGGTGGGAAAAGGGGGTGCTTTATTCCTTAACATTTCTATGGGTTTCCTCCAAAGGCAGACACACGGCTTTGAATGCAAAGCCGATCGCCTCCAGAAAGGTCTGCTGGGACAAGCTCTGGTAAGAGGGCATCATTTGTGTCATCCCCCTCTTCTTCCCCTCCCCCCATATGCAATTTCTTTCAGTGCACCTGCCAAATATGCAAAGACCGTCTAACAATGCCAGCTGGGTGTTCTAGACTGGGTTGGGTTTTGTGAATGAAGCTGCTGTGGGGAAGGCTCACACACTGCTGAGCGCCCCGGCTTTCAGACGGGCTCCATGCAGTGGCATATTCAGCCGGGAAGCCAGCACACTGGGGGGACCACTGCTCCCTGAAAACAACCGAGCTTTGCCAAATAAACATCTGTCTAAATCCTGGAGGTTGTCCCACCGAGTGCTTTCAAAGCAGGATTAGTGTATGCGAGGCATAGTGCTACTAGCCAGCCACCTCCCTCCCCACTGGGACCCTTTTCAAAATCATAAAAAGGCTCCTAAATTCCATGCTCCACATCCTTAAAAGTTCAGCCCCAGCCAGCAGCTTATTCTCGATCCCTTATGACGACATTGCTAGTTCTTTGGAAATGGATCAGAACAAGAATACCGACACGTTTAACATTAAATGGATGTACATGGAAAACCCCCCCCCACTCCCTCTCTCACACACACCCTCAGATGGGCTGTAAAATGCCAAGTATAAACTAAGCTATCTTTCCAAATGTCACCTCTCAACTTACTGACTTCAAAATGAATAAAACGGCATTAGAAAGACAGGTTTGGAATTAATATTGGTTCAAAAGGAGAGAACCCCCCCCCCAGTGCATTAAAGAGAAGGTGCAAATCACTCCTCGCTACAAAAATACAAAAATAGCTTGCCAAAAAAAAGTGAAAATCAATTCTGGTATAAATTAGCAGTGCAAATGCCCTGCACAGGATTAACCATCATTGCAGAGAAAGCAGCTCTAGGATTAACCCACATTCAGCTGCCCTCTTTAAATCCCAATAGTTAGACTCTAACGTGTAATAAATACCAACCCCATCCACCCGCAATAATCGCTTCCAAAAAAATCCTACGGATCGGTCGCTACAGGGGGGGGCAGATAGGAGCCATTCAATGCAAACAAAAATGTGTGGGTCTTGCAACGATTTCCATCGACTTCCTCCGTTATTACAAAGGCATCCTAAAGGCAAGCACACGCACACCCACAAATTAGCCATGTGCTGAAGCTGGGAAAGAAGGAAATGGTCTTTCAGCTGCCAGAGTGGATCATTTATTAAATAGCCCCATTTCATGCCCTCCCCCCACCCCCCAATTCCCTCGGTCAGTGTCTGTTTCTAATGCTCTGTTCCTGCACCCATTAGCTGGGTTCATATATCGACGGAGCCACTGGGTTGCAACACACACAGGTCGACTCCCAGCTGTTAAGCAGCCGAGCAGTATGAATCGCACATAGCTACCCAATCTGTGTGCCCGGAGATATAATAGAGACACCCGCTCTGGTCCTTGCCTTACCTCCAACGCAGAGCAAAGACATGTTCCGTCCTCTTGTCTGCTACCACATGGGCTCCGGGGGACTTCTGAGTGAGCCCTTAGCTGGGTGCCTGCTTGGGAAAGGGTGTGTGCTTGCTAGAAAATTGCATACTGCTCCATCTGCCTCTGTGTGGGCTGCTCCTCACCCGGGTCGCTAGCAGCCAGCCATTTTGTTTCAGCACCGAGGCCTATGGACAGCTCCTGACGTCAAGCTGATGAGAGGCAGGAGGCGGGTGTACTGGTGGCAGCTGATTAGCTGGGGTTGGGTCTATTCTTAAAGGCACCCAAGCTGGCTGTCAGTGGAAGTGTGTGTATGAATAATGCACATCCAGAGAATCCCCTTGGCTCGCCAGCACCGAAAGCACTCGCAGGCCGTGGGCCATCGACCATTACGTACCTGGCTTTGGGACCAGATCGCCCCCCACCCCGCAGCTGGGCTACTGTTCACCTGAAACCTGCTTATTTCCCCCTCTGATGCATGACTTGGTGTGCTTTCTGGGGCTGTCTGTGTGTGTGGGGGGGTCCGGTATCTGGACCAAGGAGGTCTGGGGAGGGGCCTGCTCTGAAGAGCACCCTGTCCAAAGAGCATCAGAGGGCTGGGTGTCTGTGTCTGGTGCTCACTCCACGTCAGACTGGCTCAGCTCAAGAATAGAAAGATCCCTCCCGCCCCGAGAGGTGAGGGCCAGATTCACAGCTGCTGTAAAACAGCCTGGATCTGCTGAGTCTCTGTGGTCCCCTGCACCCTGCTATGTGAGTGGCTCCCAAACATTTGCCTCCCAATGCCCCTGCTGGGTCAGCAAGTCTTAGCATCATCCCCATTTGACAGAAAAGAAACGGAGGCACCGGGACTATCCCAGGTCACACACATTGTAGCAGCTTTGGAGTGGGTTGCAGGTCTCCAAAACGCCAGTCCCCTGGCTTAAGCACAAGAACATCCTTCTCCCCTCTTCCTGGACCCTCCCCCCACCCCACGGTGCTATCTTGTGACCTCATCACACCTCCTGCCCTGAGTGACACCTGTGCAAAGCCCACTGCCAGGGTATACAATGGGGGAGGCCACAGCGGGACACGGACCCAGCAAGGATAGCTATAAAAACCACACTGGGCTCCTTAGCAGCATGCTTTAAGCACTGTCTTACTAACACTGCTCCTCCCGGCTCATGGCAGACCCACCCCTTTCTTCAGGCCACTGTAAGCACGGCCCATCTTCCCCTGTCACCGCAGGTCATGTAACAATTCTGAAATGCAGGCCAGATGGGGTCTGGCAAAGCTCAGTGGAATGGGCTTAAGGGCTGCCTGGCCCTTCTGCTGGCCCTCTGCACAGGGGCAAATTTCCCACCCCGACAGCAGCTCCTCTGGGTACGATGGTGCCATTTTAACTTTGACACTTTTCAGCAAAGAGCTGGATCTTAGGAACCAACTGAAATCGTAGCATTGTTTTCTTGCACCCTTTTGGACCCCTCTCCCCCGATGGTGGCTCAGCCTTCTAGCCCTCTGTCTAGTCCATTGCATGGCTTGGGGTGGCAGGTTTCCCCACTCAGGCTGTATCAATCCACCTCAGCGCCACATTTGGCTCCTAAGTAGCCCAGGCTCAGCCCCTGAAGAGTCTGGCAGACGGCTGGCTTATTCAGCTGCTGATCTGATCACGTGTCTCCATGATTCGAAGCCCTCCAAGGCTGCAGTGTCTGAATCTCCCAAATAAGGATGAATTTCCCCCAAGCCTGTGGGTCAGTGTGATTAATCTCATTTAACAGATGGAAAGAAGAGACATTAGGAAGTCAGTCCCACTGGTGCCTTACCCACAAGGCATCACATACACCCCCTGCTAGCACCAAGGAGCCGGCTTTTGGGGTCTCCTCTGGCAGGTTCCCGTACTGCTCAGCGATGGCTTGGAGGCCGTCTATGGAGTGGCTATGACACCTCCAGTGGGCCAGGTGTCAATGCTGGCTCAGGTGCACCCCTGGAGCCTGATCCCCTGTTGTGATCTGGGCCCTTGTCACCCCTGCAGCAGCACAACGAAGCCATAAAGCGGATGTACCCATGGCCACCGGGGCAGTCTACGGCACCGGGGAAATCCTGGCTCTGCGCCAGCCCCTTGGCAGTCCCTGGTGTAGCTGGGCGGGAGGGTATAGGAGTGAGATTGAGGACATGGCTGGAGCATTGCTGCACCCTGGCTATTCCTAGATGCCGGAATGGCCCCTGGGGGTCCCCTTGGGGCCCTAGGCAGGTGAATTAGGGCAGCGAGACTGCTGTGCTGAGGGCAGGCTCCATGACATGGGCAGCTTGCCGGTGGCGGAAAGCCCTGAAGACTGAAGCCTCGAGCTGATATTCTCCAAGGCCAAGAGGGACCATTGTGATCACCTGGCCTCAGCTCCTGTATAACTCAGGCCTGAGGGCTTCCCCAAATCGCTCCTAGAGCAGGTCTGTTAGACCAACATCCAATTGGGCTCTAAAACTTGCCAGTGGTGGATACGCCACCACGACCCTGGGTAAATTAAATCCACAGAACAGACCCAGCATGGGGTGGGGAGCAGCTTCCCCTACTGTACCCCGACTCCGAAACAGGCTGAGATGTGGGAATCTCATGAGATAGATTTGTTTTTAATACTGTCTCGTTCCCTTTGAAATTCCTGCTTTCCTGCGGGCTTATGTGAAGCCGCTGGAAATACGGTTAGGAGGAAACAAAAGCAAAAGACACACGTAGGGCCTGAGTTTTCACTGCTTTGCACTTTGTGTCGTCCTATACACCTGGGGGTAGCAGGTCGCCACGGCAGCACAAGGATGGCCCGATGGGCAGAGCCCCGGGTACCAGTGCTCCATAGGCACTCGGCTGCTGACTCCCTGTCTCCTGGGATGAGTCAATGGGAGTTAGGTGCCTAGATACATCTGAGGAGTTGGGCCTCAGTTTCCCACCTGTACAATGGGGATGCCGGGCCTGGCCTGCCTCCCAGGGCTGTTGGGAAAGTGTGAGGTGCTCAGATGCTTTGGTAATGGGGGTCATAGACATGGGCGACGGGTATCAAAGGCCAGGGCAGGCTGAGCCTCCCCTGACCCAGCCAATGGCCCTGCCCATGTTCCGCCCCAAGGCCCCACCCTCCCTTTCCCTCTCCCCTGAAGCCAGTACGGGCTCAGCTCCAGCCAGCAGCCTGGACCTCAGACCAGCTGCTGGCTGGGGTGGCCAGGGGCGGCTTGGGCCAGCCTGGGGGTCAGGCCAGTGGCTTGGGCCAGCACTTGAGTCCAGTGCGGCTGGGGAGGCGGACCGGGCCTCCTCCAGCCGTGGGGGCTCAGGGGCTCACCTGCCGCCCATGGTCATATAAGCACCTAAGATAGATTTCGCACCGGTGCCAATGACTGCACAAGATGCAGGACACAAAGGAGAATGAGCTACTCCCTAAGGGTCGTGTTCACAGGTATTAGAGCCAGAAGGGACCCTTCTGATCATCTAATCTGGTCTCCTGCATAGCACAGGCCAGAGAATGCCAGAGTGGCTCCTGCAGCCAGCCCATACCTCATGGTTGAGCTAGATGCGTCTCTTTTAAAAACCATCTCGATTTAAAGGCTGCAAGTGATGGAGGATCCACGACATCCCAGCACAGTCCAGCCCATCCTGGTCTCAGCGCACAGCAGTAACAGCAGCCCCAGGGCAGATCTCGGAGCCACTTTCAAATGAAAAGGGTTGGCTTGGGTTGGGTTGTTTTTTTTTAAAACCCCAAACTACCCAGCCAGTCTGACCGTGTTAAGTCAGACAATCCATAACTCAGTACGGGCTGTACTGATCTGCCCAACTGCGGATCAGTCTTAATGCCAGGCAACGGGAAGCCAAGAACACTGTGGCATCCTTCGAACATGCATTCACCCGCAGTGTTTGCAGGAAGAAAGATTGACTGGAAATAAACAAATGGGACAGTCAGCTGCTTCTTTGTTCATATAAGGAAGGTGGCTCCGGCTGGGGGTGTGGGCTCCAGGGTGGGGCCAGGGATGAGGGGTTTGGGGTGAAGGAAGGGGCTCCAGGTTGGGGCAGGGGTCTGGGGTGCGGAGGGGAGGTTTGAGGGCTCTGACTGGGGGTGTGGGCTCTGGGGTGGGGCCAGGGATGAGGGGTTTGGGATGCAGGAGTGGGCTGGGGCAGGGTGTTGGGGTGGGTGCATGCTCTGGGAGGGAGTTTGGGTGCAGGAGGGGACTCCAGGCTGGGGCAGGGGGTTCAGGGTGCGGAGGCCCAGCAGCACTTACCGCAGCTCCCAGGAAGTGGCCGCCAGGTCCCTGCAGCCCTAGGTGCATGGGCGGCCAAGGAGGCTCTACACGCTGCCCTTGCGCCCACGGGTGCCGCCCCCGCAGCTCCACGGGGGTGCAGTTCCCTGCCAATGGGAGCTGTGGAGCCGGCCCTGAGGGTGGAGGCAGTGCACAGACCCTCCTTGGCTGCCCCTGTGCCTAGGGGCTGCAGGGACCTGGTGATCGCTTCCGGGAGCCGGGCCGAGCTAGGGCAGGCAGGGAGCAGACTTTTAACAGCCTGGTCGGCGGTGCCAACCGGGGCCGCCAGGGTCCCTTTTCGACCGGGCCTTCCGGTCGGAGACCAGACGCCTGGCACCCCAGGCTGGACTCATGCAGCAGCCACAAGGCCGAGGCATACGTCAGCCAGACATCTGGGAAGTAGCTACACAGAAGAAATGGGTCCAGACTCCCAGTCCCTGAGCTGGGACAGAGGTGGGGACAAGGGTGGCTTTTAAGAATTCCCCCCAGCCCTGCGCCTTGTGTCATCATGGACACGGGGTAAAGTAAGGGCGGAGCAGGTACAAACCCCCACCAAGTCAGAACGGTAACTTGCGGCCCAAGGGGCCCAGCTGACACAGCCTGCCTCTTTGGGCCCCTGGAGTGGCTGAGATCCAGGAGTCAAGCTGTGTTCAAATCCCAGTGGTGACCTTGGACAAGTCTCTCACTTGCTCGTAACCTCAGTTTCCCATCTATAAAATGGGGATAATAATTGGTCCTTTGCTTTGTCTAGTTCATGGGGCTGGTCAACATTTGCATCCGATGAAGTAAGCTGTAGCTCACAAAACCTTATGCTCAAATAAATTGGTTAGTCTCTAAGGTGCCACAAGTCCTCCTTTTCTTTTTTCCATTGGAACTGTTTCCACCCCCCCCCCCGCCCCCCATGAAGAGTGCCTGCTCTCAGCCCCCAAACCCAAAGCGTTTCAGCGGAAAAGGAAATCATTTTGGTTC